GGGAAGGCTTCTGAGACTGAGTTCAGGTGGGTTAAAGCTGTGAAAACAACTTGCTTTGTTGGTGGTTTATCAGGCATCAGCTGCCATTGATCCACATAACAGTGAGATCTTGAGAGACACCTCTTTGGGGAAAGCAAGTTCAGAGGGAAGCAAACTGCAAATGGACGCTGGATATCTTGGTGTCAGACTTTTTTTTTTGTAGTGATGTTGTTGCTCTCCAAGCTGTTGGCTATGTAAAATGACTGCAGCACAGAGGTGATAAACAGATCTTTACTTTGAAAGGCTTCTGTGAAAATCACCATCTGAGCACAGAGATGTTTTCCTCCCTAAGGGATAAGAGGTTAAAGTGCTGGGATGGAGCTCAGAGGATCTGATTTCATCATCTGCTGCTGTTTCTTACTGTGGATTTACCAGTGTAAATCCTGTAACCATTGTTGCCTTTCCCTAAATCGGAGCTATCTCCTTTCTCAGCATCTGGGATGCCCGAATAGTGAGCCTTGGATGCTGGGGGCCCACTCCCAGAATAGGGAAAAAATCAGTGTCCTAGGAAAGGAATAATGAAAGGGGAAGGAGGGATTTTCATCCTGTAAGAGTAAAGTGACTTGCTTGGGTTTGAGATGCAAAGAGGAATAAAACTGTAAAACATAATTTAATGTTGCAGTGAAGATTAATGGCCTCATCCAGTCACCTGAAAAGATCAGTCCCTTGGAAATTGCAAATAATGATGGCAAACATTAAAATTTCAATGAAGTGGGTAGCATCGTGTGCTATCTTTTTTTTTCCTGTTAGAGTTTGAGGGATTTTGCTCTAAATGAATTTTTGGTGAAAGCAGGATCAACTGTTATTATTTGTAAGTAGTGAGGATCAGGCCCAGCACCACACACATTATTCTTCAAAATGCTGCTGGCACTAATCCTGGTTATCCTCCTCACCCTGCACCTTGCAGATGGGTAGAAGAGAAATGGAGAGATTTCCTTTGTGTTTGTGCTTGCAATAGGCATGAATTAGACTTGTTCTGCTGTCCTGTTGTTTTAGAAAGAGGAATCCATTGATTCCAGCTTTGTTAGCTTGGTGGCCCTGGGGAGCAGCTCTCTCTTGCAGGAAATTGTTTTATTGTATAATATGCCTGTTCCTATGGATCAGCTTCTTGCACTCTTGGGAATTAGCAGGGAGGTCCCCAGCCAGCAGCAAGGTGGGGTTTCAGGGTACAGAGGGAAGCAGGTACTGACCCCACATCTCTGGGACAACAAGCATCAAGAGTGGTGGGATCAGTCACCTTTGATATGGTCTGGACCCTCACCATCACCCTGCCATGTGCATCCTGAGAGCTTGCCTCAAATCTACTTTTCCTAAGAAGTTTGATCATGGAAGGGGAATAGGAGTCTTGAAGGAGTTGGGACATGGCCTGTGACATCCTTCTGACCCCATTCCCCTCAGAGGGTCTGGGTTTGAGGTACCATCCCAATGCAAGCTGAAGTCAGCAGGATTCTTTTTCCCAGTGTGTGTTTGTTCCTAGACCCCTCTTTGCTCCTTGGGAAGAGTTACTCTGTTTTCATTTCTGTTCTGATGCTCAGCAGTGCAGAAGAGCATCTGCAGAGATTTCTGCCATCTCTAAAAGGAGTCTGATGGAGCCAAATACAGAAGCTACAATGAATATGTATTATTGCAAATATTGAAGAAGCCAATGTCCCCTTCCTAATAGATGTTATTTCTCATTCTTTGAATGAGTCTGTTGGCGATAGAGGGCAGATAATCCACTTGTGGAATCTTTCTTGCCTCGTGCTATGTGATTTATAACATCATACAAGGAACAGAACTTGTCAGTGCTGTCTCTGAGAAGCACCATTGAGTCCCCTCGTAGGGGTGGCTCTGGGAAAGTGGCTTTTGGGGATCAAGGGACAGCATTTTCATTTTGTTATGACTTTTCATTTCTTCCTGCCAGATTCTTTGATGCTCTAGCTGATAACCATAGACGTGTAAAGATCATCTAGTTTCAATCCCCTCTGCCATGGACTGGTGTGCATGGTTGCTGAATTTCTGTGGTCATTAATGTCCTGAGAACAAATTCCACCCACACCAGTGGTTATGGTACAAATTTAGCTCATTAGCATTTGGCAAGTAATTAGCCAGGTGCCCACCATCCCAGGAGTGACTCTTGCATTTTTGAAGCTTTGCTTTCCAGCCTTTCAAGCACACTCCACTTCCCCCCCAGCCTTTCTCCCTCTCCTCTCCAGCCCAGGCACTTTTTTCCTGCACGAGAAATGATTTCATTTCTTGCAAAATTAATTCTCTGCTCATGATGGCCTTGATTAAACAGATTGCCAAACTGTGCTAAAGGTGACAAAACAGTTCTGACAAGCAGACGTCTTCTCCTCCTAAAAGGAAAGGCAAAAAACCCCCAAATCCCGTGGGCTGTTGCTATTATGAGATGTGCAGGTGGCTGTGGGCTGTTTGCTGCAGAATCAGCAAAAATTGTCCACATTTAGGAACAGTGTTTGTAAAGTTAAACTGGTTGAAACAGCAGAAGATGTAACTACTGACACTCGAACTAGATCATCCTGAAAAAATTGAGGAGTTTTCATCCACAACTGAGTAGACTGTACTGATGCTCCAGGAGTTTGGAGGTACAAATGGTATAGATATGTGTGGCTGCCCTGTCCCTGGAAGTGTTCAAGGCCAGGTTGGATAGGGTTTGGAGCAACCTGGTCTAGTGGAAGTAGAAGGTGTTTGCAACAAGATGAGCTTTAAGGTCCCTTCCAACCCAAACCATTCCATGATTCTATGTGGGAAAAGCCCAGACTCTTTCCTCTGCCAACATATATCCATTAACTGAGCAGAGAACAAGCCTGTTTGCGACCCAGCTGTGGCTCTTTTTAATATAAGCCTCTGAAAGCCTGCAAATATACTCCAAATATGCACAAAGCTCATTTTCCAGACACTTTTTAATTTGTTAATGGGCATTGTAATTATTTACCAAACACATCAGAACCCTTTTATATACACTTTGTTTGAATCTTATTTTACAGATATTCAGTGGAAAGTGAAGTGGAGGGAAAAAAAGCATTTGTACCGTGAATGTGTTTTTTCACTTGCTTGTTGATGCTCTGGACTCTTGTAAATCCAGCCTCTGTTCATGGTGTGTCCTAATGCTTCCATGTGTGCTTTCTGGGCAACCATTGCCTGGAAGAAGGGTGGTCTTTTTGGCCTGTTCTTTTTTTTTTTTTTTTTTTTTTTAATTTGGCTTTTGTTAACATCCTGTCTGCAGAGAAACCTTGAAGGTGAAGAGTGGATCTGGATTTTCAAAAAATAGCCTGGGAGAAGTCCTTTTGGGTCATGGAAATTAAAATTTTGGTGGCCTTCCTTCCCAGCCTTGGTGCATAGACCCCAGTGGACAGGGCAAAGACTTCTGATGAGGAAGAAATCTGGCAAGAGTCTTGCTCTTGAGATGACTGTTCTCTGCTCATACCAGGGATCCTGAGAAGAGTGGGTGTTAAGATACCATGAGATGTTCTGGAAGGACAGATCTCTCCATTACTGAATTGGGATTGGGGTGGAATCATGGGATTGGGACTGAAGGTGCAGCATGAATATCCTGCATTTTTTCCCATGCGAAAAGGGCAGATACGAACACTGAGAAGATACTGGATGGATGGATGGATGAGGAGAGTTTGTGGAAGAAGGTTTGTCCCAGACACAAGGCATATCTTGGCTGTCAGTAGTTCAAGGTGGCAATCCTGATCCCTTTTACAGCAGCCATTCCGAAACACAGCTGTCAGGTGAAAATGAGCACCACAACAAGATAAATGGGTGAACCTGATGTATTTGCTGCACTGAATTAACATAAAAGGGAGTGTGGGAAGGGTTGAGAGCATTTATGGGGTGAGAGCCAGCAGAGAGGAGCAGAGCTGAATTTGCAAACACTCTTCCCGTCAGCTCCTGGGCTGTCCAGCTGGGAGCTCTTGCACTGATTTACTGCTGTCCTTCCTTCAGCCTTTGAAAATCAATCCATTAACAATTAAGGTAATGTCTAGTCTGGTGTTTATTTCACACTCTCATTAGCGGACGGACAAACCCCTCACTTATTCAAGAAGTAGGACTGCTCTGTTCCACAGGGGGGCTGTATCTCTGGGTCATACTTTTTCCCTTGTTCCCCATTAGAGCTGAGATCTGCTCCTGTGGAAGCATTCAGGAAAATTACCATGCAACACCATACCTTGGCATTGTGTTCCTTGTGAAGAAGATGCCGCTTTTGTGCTAAATATCCCCAAACATCCATTGAAGCAGAACTGGGACAGAAAGGTATAGCCCTGACTGCCTGCTGGGCCCCAGGAGTTCTGTGTTGGGCTGGCTGTGGGCTTGGGAAGAGAAAAAGCATTTGCTGCAAGAGCTCATGTTCCTTTTCTCCATCTCCTGGGCAATAACAGTGTGCCCTGGATTGAATCTGCCCCATGTGTCTCCGCTTATGTCCCCAACACTGGGAGATTTCCTCAGATTGCTGGGAAACGGCTTCTTTGGAGAAACGCTGTAGATGGCCAGAGGCTCCAGACCATGAGGCTCTGGTTCTCAGTAGTCAATCCATCTCTGATCTGGGATTAAACTGGGCATGGACCCCAAATGCCTCTGTGCAACCTGTTTGAGGGGTGGCATACCTGGGGGACTCTGCAGCTCTTGGGCACCGAGTTTATGAGGGTCAATATCTCACAGCCAGAGTGGGAACTGCAGGTACCTGTGGGGTCTTTGTGGCTCACCCCACCTTGAGGTAATGAATTCACCACTGCAGCTTCTTGGAATATTTGTGTTACTCTAACTCTGATGTGAAGTGCAGGATGGTTTGCGCTGCAAAAAATGACCTTTAGTTAATGCTGCTAGAAGATTACTAAATGATAACAATTTTCTCCCCCTAATTCTCATTCCTCCTTGTATTTTTTTGCCAATTTCTAGGTCAGATTCCCCATTCCGCTGCTCCTGCGCTAGCACAGCGATCAGGTTGCACAATTGCAGAGGAGGGAGGAATCTGCTTCCCGAATCCCTGTCTCTTCAGCACCCTTCCACGATTCTTCCCTTCTTCCCAGCGTCTACGGCTGGGAGCCCATCCCAGGTAGGCTGCGGGTCGAGGGCTGCGGCAGGAAGGGTTTGGGGAGGTTGGGGGGTGCTGGCCCCCCCCTGCCCGTGCCGGGGGTGGGACGGGGAGGCCACCGCAGCTCCCGGCGCCTGCGGGGCGGGGGGAGGACGCTGCCCTTGTCTCGCAGGTGTGGGCTCGCTTCCCCTTTGCCGCGTTTGGTAATTTATTATTTCTTCCTCCCCCCCCCTCCTTTTCCTCCTTCCCCCTCCCGCTTTTCTCTTACGCAGTGGGAGCAGCCCGGCAGCCTGGCTCTGCCCAGCCGCCCTCCGTCCTCCCTCCCTCCCTCTCTCTCATCCCTCCCTTTTCCTTAAAAACGTGGGATCCGGGGTGCAGCACCCTGCGCTGGCAGCATCCCTGCCTGGGAGAGCAGTCCCTTCCCCTCCTCCACCTGCGGAGCCCCCGGCTTTGTCCCGTGTTCCCCCTCCATCCCCCGGCCCGGGGGTGCTGGATGCGGCCGCGGGGAGCGGAGCCTGGTCCGGAGCTGCGCTAGAGTGGACCCGCCACAGGTACGGAGCCATCTATGGTTTATTTCCAACTTTGGGCTTTTCCTGCCGTTTTATTAGGATACGGACCAGGATGGGGGGGGAGGTTGTGCCCCAGCCCCAGTGGGAGGCTGCGGAGGCTCTCGGGGGACAACGGGGGGGCAGTGGAAAGTCTGGGGGCACAGAGCCGCGTGTGGGGACTCACCGGCCCGCAGGGATGGGAGAGGCAGGTGGGAGCATCCAGCCCTTGGGAGGGATGGCGTGTGCAGCCCGCGCGTCCCCTGCGCCGGCAGTGTGGAGATATGCGTGATCCCGGTGTGCCCGGGATGCGCCGGGCTCTCAGGGTTGCAGACCATCAGAATGCTCCTGGGAAGGCTCGAGGGGGGGCTGTGTTCCCCGGCAATAAATCATCCTTCTCCCTGGTAATAAATCATCCTTCCCCAGCGCTTCTCACGCACATGCTTTGCCACAGTCCCGTGCTACCCGTTTGATCAGCAGATCTTAAAACTGTCTCTTGGTGCCCCAGGTCCTTGGCGCAGGCTGGTGCTTCAGGATGGACCCGCTCTTCCCCGCCCATATTTTTGAAGACCCTGACCTGAGAAAGCTGCTGAATGACTCCTCCATGCTCAACCTGAGCTTTCTCCCCAGCAACTGGTTTAACAACAGCACGGGGGACAGCTTCCTGCCGCTCAGCATCAAGATCACCATCGTGGTTGTCTATTCCATCGTGTGCATTGTGGGGCTGGTGGGCAACTGCTCCGTCATGTATGTGATCGTCAGGTAGGACACGCAGGGAGGCTCCAGGGAAGGCTGGGAGCAGGGCAGACCTTCCCTCCCTCAATCCCTGCTTGCAGGTGAAGCAGGCAGGTGCTTCCCTGGCGTTCCTGATGTGCTTTAGTGGTAATGATGTAGCATTTGTTATATTGTTTTGGTTTTGTTTGTTTTTTTAACCCTTCCTAGGCTGTGATGAAGGTTTCCACCAGTTTTCAGCTGCCCTCTGGTGCCTCCTAAAGTTTAACTCAGAGAATGGAACAGAGAGAGCAGAGCTGCTCAAAAAAATGTTTTGTGGGATTTTTTTGGAGCGAGCTGGATGTCCCTAAAGAGGGCAATGAGCTGGAAGGGTTTTGCTGCCAGGGTGTGCTGGCTCCTCAATGGGACCTCTCCTTCCTGGGCTGTGTCCGGCACCCCAGCTGTGTTTGCAGGTGCTGTTCCATCTGGGAGCTGGCTCTTTCCAAAGCTGAACCTTGTTGCAAGGGGAATGGCACGTGCAGAGGCTCTGCCTTAATTGTACAGGGGAAAAATCAGGAATGTAACTCTTTCAACCCTTTGGGAGCCGTAGACATGAATAAGATGTAACAGGATGCTGCAGAGTTGAGGGCAAGTTTTAACTCCTCATGCTGAAGTCAGGAGAGTGGGGGGACCTTTGCAGAGGGACAGACCACGGAGCATGAACCAGTCCAACCTCCCTGCACACTGCTGGCATTTTAAGTGTCCCTGTCCGACACTGTTGTGGTTCAAACTCCCCTTATTTCCGGGAATCAGAAACCTTGTTCCCCTTGTAAGTACAGAATAAGTTTATGCAGCTATTAGGGCTGTGATTGTGTTAAATCCCAGCACCCCCCTTCTGATCTCTGCATCCTTCATGTTAAGGAGGGAACTTCCATTTTATCCATGTCTTGGAGCAGATTCCTGCTGCAGGTGGATGCTGCCAGCACAAAAAAGACAGGTTGAATCCTCCAACAGAAAATGCAAATATTTAGCAGGTATTCAGACACTGATGAGATTGTCTTGCTCTTACCAGGAGCCCAACTGCATCTTTCCCCTGAATACACACAGCTTGGTTGCAGGAGATGCTGCAAAATTCAAGTCTCTGGTATCAGAGTTTTGTGAAGGGTGGCTAAATCTCTGCTACAAGGGCAGAGTGAGGTGACTGTTCATCAGGCTGCCTGTCTGTTTATGGCAGAGAGAAGAGATCCCATCAGCCCTGGTGAGCTGCAGATGCAGAGACCAGGTTTGCAGTAAACTAATGCCATGCCTGGAGAGCTCGTGTTCCTGTTCAGTGTAGTAGCAGTCATTTGAGTAGTTTGTGGGTGTGTCCAAGTGTGGTGAGTAGTGAGGCTCTGGGAGTTAGAAGTCCTTGTCTGACAGTGCTGCAGCTCCATGGGAATGCCAGCCAGTGTGTGTGCAGAGGAAGGGAGTCCTTACCCCGTGCATGAGCCTTAGATGTGTGTAATGAGAAGTCTTGGCAGAAATCTCCCTGTCTGTAGAGGTCCTGTGGGATGTGAGCAGCTGGATCCTGCTGGCCCCAGCCCAGGGCTGTGACTGGGTATCACAAATAACATCAGTGTCCCAAGACAGCATCCTGGTCAGGGCGGACCTGTGCCATGGCCATGCATGCAGAATGGTGGCTTCTGTTCCACATCTTTTTGACTTTGATACCTTCCAGTTGGATAAATGGTACTCAGGAAAAGAAAGTGGGATTTCGGCACTGGAATTTCCCCTGGAACTTAACTTGTTTTTGTGCCCTCTGGTTTTACTTGGTTTAAGCAATTGAAAACTGAAGAAAGGTGCCACCCCCATCTCCCCCACCTGTTTTCCATTTCTCTATTTCCCTTTATCTAGAAACCCCTATATATATATATATATATATATATATATATATAAAACCCCAACAGACACTTCGATTATTTGGGTACTCCTTTTTGGGGATTCCCTTTTTTTTTTTTTTCCCAAAAAAAACCCTTCAACGTGAACCTGGAGTGCCCCCTTGAAAAGTGTGCGCTGGGGAAGTTATAACTGAGCTGGGGCATGTGTAGAACCTGCTGTTCCCACTGGTTCTCCCCATCTGTGTCCCCTGGGAGCTCAGTATTGAGCTGAGTTATACCCAAGGAAATGACCTTTTTTAGGCTGGTGAGTAACTACAACTTCTGGTTATCTCTGCTCAGGATTCTCCTCTCCTTGTTCTGTATGTTGAGGTCAGGAGCAGATGTGGGAATAAACTGAGCTCAGTATCCCAGATTCTTACCCTTGCCATGTATGTGGATTGATGCAGAGCTACCACATCAGTGGCCATACAAGGAAGATGCTGATGAACTTCTCAAACACAGGCTTTTCTCCCCAGACTGGAGCATTGAGGCTTCATGCCTTGAGTAGCATCTGTTTTTCAGTAGGTTGAAAATTGGTTGCTGGTAAGTCAACATGGGGTTTTGGAACTCTTAATGATATACCTCTTCCATTGCCAAATGACTGGCAAACCCTCTGTGCTGCACCCCTGTCACCTGCAGATATGATGCACCCTATGAAAACTGGTTGGGTTTTTTTCCATGCTTCAGCAAGGATAACCAGGCTTCAACATATTACACAGCCCGTAAGAAAATGGTGTATTATCTTCCACAAAAATAATGGTACAATATCATAAACAGTAATTGTTTCCTGGCTTTGAGGGAGCTGGGAAATAAGAAGACTCTAATACCTGCACTCGAGGAAATTGGAAGCATCAGAAAGGCTCATTTTTTGTTCCTTTTGAATGAGTCTTCTGCAGCACTGAGGGAAAAGTTTTAAAATCTCCCAGTACTTCACATGAAAGTAGAAATTCAAAGCCTCCTCTAGGTTTTCCCCTGTGTTATAGAACCCGGCCTACATGTCTATTATATTTGGAGTGATTTAAAATTTGGAATGATTAATTTAGAGACAGTCATCCTGTGGCTGTCAGTCCTTTCCAGTGCTGAGCAGCACTAATTGGGTAAGATGGAGAAGGGCTCTCGTCAGGAGCACGATTTCCTAGACAGTAAAGGGCCTATTGTGGGAACCTACCTCATCTCTGGCTTTGTTCTGCTGGCTCATCGTGGAGCTCCTTGCCAGCAGGGATGATGTCTCCCCTCCCTCCTCCTTCTGCTGTTTGCTCTCTTCTGCATATATTTCCTGTTCTTCTTTTTAATGAATGTGAAACGAGGAGCTGAACAGAGGGTTTGGGGGGAGAGTGAAGGAAAAAAGGCCGCTGAGATCCCTCTTAGCTATTAACTGAATTCTGCAAGGCTGCTTGCCCAAGAGCTTTGTTTTTAGGAAGGAAAGCAAAGGAGAAGGAGGATGGATTGTTCTTTCAGTGGCCCTGGGGGTGGGTGACTCACGGGGCTGGAGGTGATGCTGACCCAGGTGTTGTTATAGGGCTGTGACAGAGACCCCTGAACTGCTGCCAGCCACCCGTGTGCCAGGGAAGGGACAACATGCAGCTTCTGGTCCAGGGACTCCTCTGTTGCCCCCAGCTCCATCATGCTGCTACAATGCTCAGCAGTGATGGCCTGGAGGACTCCTTTCCTCCAGTTCAGGCCCCCATGGGAGTGATGATGCCTCATTTCTTGGGCACTCTTTACTATGGTTTCTCTCTGTTGGGAGCCCAGCAAAGTACTGGAGATGCTCAGCTCTCTCTATTGAAGAACACTTTTCAGAGCATTTCAAGCAATATTTCAGGCAGATGAGGGCTGACAGGCTCCTAGACTTTCATTTGCTGCTTCCAGGTGAAGGAGGAAGGATGTGATGAGGGGTGGCTGCACCACGATCCTGCCTGGGGATGCTGTGCCAGCTGTTATTCTGCTTGAAAGCTGCCACAGTCCCTGAGAACAGGGGTGAGGGCAGCTGGCTGTGATGAGACAGGGAAAATGAAGTTAATTATGACATTGCAGAGATGCTGATTTCTTAATAGAAAGCTTTCTAAGGGAAAAGCCTCTGACAGCTGAGTGTCTCAGAGCTGAAATGGAGCTTAATGCAAAGAGGACCCAGTGTGATGGTGGAGCCATCTGAGTCCTGCTTAGTTTTTCCTCGAAAAAAATGTAAAATAAATAGACAATTCTTGCAATTTATAAAGAAGTGAAAGCCACACTGAGGGCTCCTGTGCCCTGGAGAAGGAATGGAGCTGGAGAGGATGGTGAGGTGAGCAGGAGGGGAACCTGCTGTGATAGTGGCTGCACAGGACAGGTCTGCAGATCCCTGATTTCTGGTTCCCCACGAGCCCAGGTGAGCTGGGCTCAGCCATATGACTCATAGGAACTATGTCTGGTCCCTGCTAATACAGATCCTGTGGTTCCAGTGAGGAGGGCTCTTTGTTTCACCTGGCTTTGGTGAGATGGGTGCAGGAGAGTTGCCCCTGTGCAGCAGTAATTCTGTGATGTTTAATGTGGGACTCAGTTCCCAGTGTTTTTCATGGACTGGGCAATTCCCAGCAGCGTATTGGATACAAGCAACTCAGTAGAGGCAGATCTGGCCCTTGAACTGGAATAAGAGCATCTTGCTGCAGGGTGGAGGCTGATGAATGCCCTCCTCACACCAGAGCACCATTCCTGGTGCTCAAGCACCTGCTCAGGGATGTGGGAGCATCCCTGTGAGCCCCTGGCTGAGCTACTGAGGCTTTTGCAGCCACCCAGCCTCCTCCCTTGGCCATGCGATGTCCCCACCCACACTGGTCCCCAGAGAGCACCCAGAGGAGCAGGACAGTGTTTGTGTTTCATAGTTGTCACTGGACACAGTGGTGAGACTCAAGGGCAAGGAAATCATCTATCCCAAAGTGTGTGCTCACATTGGCTGGCAGCAAACTCCTTAACTAACCATTGCTAGTCAGTCCCTGTCCTGCTGGGTAATTTATAGACTTTTAGGTGCTGTGTTGGCGGCTGCTTTTGCTGTAGTGTCTGGCCTCAAAGTTCAAAGTAGTTTAAATTTGTCCTTCTCAAACCCTCTGGATTTTTTCAGGGCCTGTTGAACCATTAAGAATAAATCATCTTGAACTGGTTAGAAGTTTGAGGCTGAGGGGGCTCTGAAATGGTGACCAGAGCAGCCGGGATGTGGGGAGCAGTGTGGGTGTGTGGCTGGGGGGACACAAATCACGATGGTACGTGCCAGATCAAATAGCAGGTTCACACGACCTGTAGGCTATGAGCAGGCTGGGAGCAGAGATGTGAGAGAACCAGGGCTGATTTCTACCATCACAGGGTGGGAGTAGCTCAGTAAAAATTCTCCCTGAGCCTTTTCTGCTCTGTTTTGCTCCCAGGTGCAGGTTCAGGGACTAGAGCAAAGGTTGGCACTGCTGCCAGGGTGTGAGGTGGGGATGGAGGGAGCTGCTCAAGGTGAACAGCACTGTCTGCATCCCAATTAGCTGGAGCTATGAATATGAAAATCAAGAGACTCCAGGAGGCAGAGAGCTCCTGGAGATAATGCTCAGGGTTCCCCATGGCTGCAGGCTTTGCTCTGGTCCCTCTGTCCCAGTGTCTGCTGCCCCATTTTGGGTTGCAGGTTTGCTGCAGCCAGCTGGTTCTTAGCCTTGGGGTATCCAGAGTGGCTCACTGTCCTGCAGCCTTGCCGTGGCTGGATAGAAAAGAGGGAAAGCAGGAAAAACAGGTCTGCAGCTCCCCTGAGTCTCAGCCAGGGGCAGAATCCATCCTTGTGAGAAACAGGGCTTTAAAGCCCAGAGAGCTGTGTCCTACCCATCTTCACTCCCAAATCGCATCTTCCCCTTGCTGAAGTCCAACTTTGTTCCAGGTAATGTTGCTTGAGGTCCACTTATCAAAAAAGGAGAGGGAAGACAAGTGCTGAGATGATATCCAGGCATTTTTTCTCTTAGGCTTCAGCATCCGAGAGAACAGGACTGCAGAGCAGAGCAATTACTGTTGTGACAAAGGTGGAGCTGGATGAAGAGCTGAGAACCACTCTGTGGGAGATGCTCCATTAGGAAATTACCTCCATGACAGAGTGGAAGAAAGTGGCTCAGCAGGGAACTAATGTCCTCCGTGGAGGCCACAGGCCTATCTGCAGCAGAGCTGTGCCATGGGGGGAGGAAACTGAGGTGCCTCCTAAGCCCAAGAATTTAATTTGTCTTTTTTTTTTGGTGCAGATTAAGAAAAAGAACACTCTGAGTTCCTGGAGGAAAAGAAAAAGAGGTTAATCCACAGAGAAGCGATTAATTGATTTTTTTTTTTTGTGTACTGAACATTCTGGAAATGTTTGGGAACATTGTTTGGTTGGGGTAATGGCTGTTGGCTCTCAGCATGCAGAGAAAGTGGAGTAGAAGTAATTAATTAGGTGTAAATTAATTTCCCCACCTTTCAAGAACACAAAATCAGCTTAAAATCCACTAGAAGATGGGTCGAAGGAGGTAAGTGGTGGGCCAGCCACCTCTGTGTGTCCCTGTGTTGGAGGGAGCGAGGGAAGGTGGCTCTGCCATCACCTTGGGGAGGTGGTGAGGAAGGAAGCAGCAGAGAGGGATCTGTGCATTGAGAGAGAGCAGATTTTGCAGGGCCAGGCTGAGCAATTGCAGCTGGACTCTGAATTCTTGCTGAGAAGTGTCTGGGAAGAGAGGGGCTGGTAGGGGTGGAGGGGTGTGGGAGGGAGCTGAAGGTTTGTGATCTTCACACCCTGAGCTCAGGGCTGGCTGAGATGCCCCAAAATTCTCACAGTGCTGAGGAAACAGGAGTATTCAGGGGGGCAGCTTTGTCCCCCATGGATGTTGGAAGGGGGCTGGAAATAGGTGAATTCTGCTTGTTTCTTCCACTGGTCAATTAGACAACCAAATTCAAACAACCTTTAATTTTTTTCTGTTTTGCTGTCAAGTCGCTCATCATTGCTCCAAATTGTTATTCCTTTCAGTTATAATGTCAGTAAGAGCAGTCAGTGTTAGAGGCATGTTGATGAATTGCCTCCGGCTCCAGTCCTCCTGAAAGGATGGACTGCAACAACCTTGACCTTTGGGAAGCTTGAGCCAGCCCAGCCAGTCTGTGGTATGCAGAGAAGGCCACAGCTCCCAGGAGACCTTTGCTAGCACAGTCTTAGGTGACTGAATAATTTCCTAAAGCCTGAGCTGACAATACTTATTTTTGTGGGGGCTGATAAAAAACAGTGATTTAATTTTCTTCATTTTAATTCCCCTCTGCTGACCTAGAGGGGAAGATGACTGAACCCACTTAACAGACCTACCTCATCCCCCTGAGTACTTTGCCATGCTTGGGCCAACTGCAAGTGTTCAAACACAAAAGGAAAACTTGCCTACCCTGAGATGCTGCTCTGGGGTTCAGGGCACTGGAGCCTGTGGTAATCCTGCTTAGGAAATCCTAAAGCTTAAAGCCCTGGCAGCTGCCTGGTTGAGTTGGATTTGCAAAGTGTTTTGCTTGTTCATCCCACCACAAAAGGAAAGGCACTGGCATTTCTCTTCTGCTAGTTCTGGTTACATAAGTTTATCTGGGCTGGCTTTTTAAGAACCTGTGATTTCTGGGGCAAGAGGAGCCTGACACAAGCTTTTGTAGGGACCTCAGTGTTTCCAACCATGTTTCCATCAGTGCTCACCTCCAAACGCTTTCCTTGGCTTTGAAGGTCAAATGGAACATTCGGTCTTGCTTTCTGAAGCCACTTTCAGATTTCTAATACAAGCCCAGCTTAAGGCTCCAAAGCAGGTAGAAAAATAGACTTTATAGTCTGGATTGTGGCTCCCCTGGCTCCTATTCTTGCAAACCTGGCCACGTCACCGTGTGTCTCAGCAGAGTTCAGAGTGTGCCACTGATAATGTTCTGCCAAGCATTCAAATAATCTCTCAAGAACAGAAGTTCAGACCCTGAGGGGAGGGCACAGAGCTGAGAAGGGCAGTTGTGGGTTTGCTGTTCTGAATCAAATTGACAAAAAGAGCTTTTTAGGTCAAATCAGACCCTATAATATTCTAACACAGAGTGAAAATAGGGTGGCAGTTTATGAGTAGAAGTGTTACCCTCAAACGATCTTGCACTCTTAATAACATACATCCCCATCTGCCATTTTTGGCCACATTTCTGCAAAGGCCATTAGTATAGTAAATGATGGATGAGCTATAGTTTTAAAATTATACCTATTTGAGCTCCTATTTTGCCCATGAGAGGAACATCCTGGAGCTGAAATGTTAGGTTCAGTCCCAGAGTCACTGTTGAGCTTCCATTTCTGCAGAACTCTGCGTGTCTCATGGGTAGATGATTACGGTTTGCTCTGCATCATTTCCCATGTGTGAAAAGGAGATGATTGCCATTAGAGCAAGGTGAATCTCCCTTTTTGGCAGTCAGTTCATATGATAAAAGTAATATCAAAATGACAAAGATTCTTTGAAGTAGAGTTGACTTGTGACTTTACCTCTTTCTTGAGAAAGATCCATTGTGATATTTCAATGTCTGATTCAAACCTCATTCCTCATCAGTTTTTAGCTGGCCAGGGCTGGCCATCCCACCTGTTCTGATCTGACAACTCACATTAGCCACACCCTTTGACTGTGAGCCCTTACAAAATGGCTAATCATCTTAGCCCTGGATCCTTCAAATCATCATATTGGGTAAAGCTTTCCCCAGCATTTATAATAATGAAGCCATATGTGATGAAATCCCAGGTTAGCCTTATTGAAGTCATTTTTCAAGAACCACTGTGAGTTGACAGGTAGGTTGAGACTTCCATGGTCCTCCCTGGCAGTCTGAGGGAATAAACTTCTCCTGCCCATGGAACTGATTATGAAGGTACCATATGTGATCTTTTAGGAGCTGGGTTGAGCTGTGTGTTGATAAACCTGTGGGAGGTAGAAAGGTGAAGGGTGGTCAGTCTCATTATGTAAGAAAATACTGCATCTCCATCCTAAAGTGGCAGAATGGCCTCTTCAGTAGAGTTTAATGTCTTACCCATCATCAGGTGGAGCTCTGACCGTTGCTCATTCCTGCATTTCAGATTCACCAAGATGAAGACAGCAACCAACATTTACATCTTTAACCTCGCTCTGGCTGACACCCTGTGCCTGATGACCTTACCCTTCCAGGGTACAGACACGTTCCTGGGCTTCTGGCCCTTCGGCAACGTCCTCTGCAAGATCGCCATCTCCATAGACTACTACAACATGTTCACCAGCACCTTCACGCTGACCATGATGAGCGTGGACCGCTACATCGCCATCTGCCACCCCATCAAGGCCCTGGACATCCGCACTCCCCACAAGGCCAAGGTGGTGAATGTCTGCATCTGGGCACTGGCTTCTGTCTTCGGCATCCCAGCGATGGTGATGGGATCCGCGGAGAACGAGAACAACGGTCAGTAAAGCTGCACCCAGTGGGTGGGAGGTGGTGGTGGCCAGGAGAGCCCATGGGCTCGGGGTGCCAGTTTCATCAGCAGGGTGAGGGCTCTGCTGTAAAGTTGTCTTAACTCTCTCCTTTCTGCCCTTGCTTCCCTGTATCACTGCTACTGCCTTCCCCTTCTATTAAACATAGAATCGCAGAATCATTAAGGTTGGGAAAGACTTCAAAGAACATTAACTCCAACCACTTTGCTAACTAGTCTAAACTAATCTCAATATACAGATGCCATTTTGCTTGCTCTGTGTTTGCTGATCTTCTTTTCCACTTTATTTTTTCACTTTTTTCACTTGCAGAAATTGATTGTCTAATTAAACTCCCTTCGCCAGTGGACTACTGGGATCCGGTGTTCGGCATCTGCGTCTTTCTCTTCTCCTTTATGATCCCCGTGTTGATCATCACCATTTGCTACAGTCTCATGATCAGACGGCTCAAGAACGTCCGTGTCCTCTCAGGCTCCAAGGAGAAGGACCGAAACCTGAGGCGCATCACCCGAATGGTCCTGGTGGTCGTGGCAGTCTTCATTGTTTGCTGGACTCCCATCCAGATTTTTGTGCTGGTCCAGTGCTTGGGTGCCAAGGCAGAAAGTGAGCTCGAGCTGGCCATCTCCTGCTTCTGCACCGCGCTGGGGTACGCCAACAGCAGCCTGAACCCCGTGCTCTACGCCTTCTTGGATGAGAATTTCAAGGCCTGCTTCAAGAAGTTCTGCTTCCCCACCGCCTTCAGGACCGAGCTCCAGATGTCCAACAGGATGTGCAGCATCGCCAAGGATGTGGCCTATGCCTGCAAGAACTCGGAGGGGACTAACAATCCGGCCTGACTAGGCATGGAAATTCCCATGGTGGCTGTCGCCCAGCAGAGTCCAACCACCCCCACGTCAGAACTAACTCAGATAACAGCTCTTTAGCAGGACCTCAAAACTGAGAGGCGAGAAACAATTTTGGGGGTTGGGAAAACTGGATACTGCAAGAGCATGCAGAAAAAGTGAGCCCATTTGATGCATTTTTAATTCTAGTGCATCCTGCACTAAGGAACGTGTTTGAAATCAGCCCTTTGATTCCTGCGAAACCCTGGGGGTTTGCAACATTATTGAGAGTTCAGGAATCAAGGATTTAAAATAGGCATTGCTCCTGGGACTTACACTTTTGCTGCTGGGAGACAGACAGAATGTAAACTCTTCCATTGCTTTTTGCCTCCCCGAGTTGAGATGTTAACAGCTCGTGTGGCTCAGCAGGCGCTCGCGTGCGGGTTTTATTCCTGTGCCACCACTCTGAAATTAGACTTCACTGCAGCCAAAGTGGGCAGGAGCCATCAGACAAAACCTAAGATCATCTCCAGGATGAGTCATCGTGCAGGGAAGGATGCGGGGAGGGAGAGGAGGGAGCTGGCGGAAAGGGAAATTCAAACTGCCTTGGAGAACAACGCCAGCTCCTGCAGATGGGGTCTGCAGTAAAACCCTCCTCTCGGAGGGGAGCAGGGGGGCGAGAAGGGACTGTAAAAACTGATGAGTGTAGCTCCGAAGAGGAGGAAATGAACACAATTCCTCGTTTACATGCTGCTACTGCTTTTTTTTTTTTTAAACTCTGTATTTCCAGTGTGACAGTGGACAGAATGTGTCTATACATACACGTCTGCAGTGCTCTAGGTACATATATATGGTAGGATTTCACCTTGCCAAGCATGCCTTGGGGATCTTCCTCAGTGAGAGGAGGAAGGAATGAAGTGGCCTATATATAAATGTATTTATGTATAGGGGAAAGCCATTTTGGAGAAGTCAGAATGGCAGCTCCTCCAGAAGACATGGATGTTCCTGGTAGGATGCATCAACCTAAAACAGTCCCATCTGCTCTGCATGGGATAAGTGGGGCACAAACCATACAAAAGGTGGGGGTTTGGGGTTTGTTTTGTTGTTTTGTTTTTTTTTTTTTTAACTGCAATGAGATCCACGATACTGAGAGCACGTGGGAAATGCTGCCCAGGTACCATTCCTCCTGCCAACTGTGGATTGATTTTTCCTCTCCCACTAGGTCAGAGCTTTGTGGAAAATGAAATGTCGTGTCATTTCATTCAATAATGAAAGCTTCCCTAAAGAGTCTAACCACTGAGTGCTCTCTGTGCTGGAGGGGACAGCAGACTGGTATTCTCCCTGTAGCACAACAGCCCTGGGGAAATCTGGGCAGTGGTGGCCAGTGGTGCTGATGGGGAAGCAAAGCAAAGACCCCCATGTGGAGATGGGAGGTCAGCTTCAATCTGAGAACCGGCAGCGTCGTCCGGACTGTACAGATTTCTTGTGAATATATTTCTTGTGCTCTGGTCTAGGAGATTCTGTATTTTTAATGTATTGATTTGCCAATATTTTAATGCTGTCATGTTCTTTACATATGCTGTATAAAAGAATCGAATGTTATATTTCTATGTAGAGTGTTTCCCTTATGGTTGGGCTTAAAATATAGATGAAATTCCAGTGTCCCACGTATAGGACCCAGATCCCTTGTAAACTGCTCGAGCTGAGAGGATTTTGATGCTGTGATTAGCATTTGATTGGGAATCTGGAGGGATACCAGAGCAAACTTTGCAATTATCACTTCCCCTGACTAATCTGGGGGGAGGAGGAAATCTGGGCACTTTAAGCACTTTGCAATGGATGTTTATCTCCAAGCACTCACCAGGAAATCCCACACAGCCCCCAGGCATGGGAAGAACAACTCCCTGAGGACTGTGCTGCTGGCAAGCTGCATCCATGGCCTTGGAAAAGCTGAGTTTGGTGGGATGTTGTGGTTGTGGATGCAATAACAGCGTTGGGCATTGAGTGACCTTGGGTTTGCTCAGCCCCTCAGCTGTCAGACGATCTGATGGGGTCTGGGTATGGTTGGGCCTGAAGCTGGGAACCGACTGCTGTTCTTGCTGTTAGGGAGCAGGAGGGCATTCCTTAGTGGCTGGCTAGGGAACAGCCACTCTCCCTTTGCTGTTCTTGGTTGAGTTTTTAAATAGATTTATGTCCTCTGAAAAAAATATACCTGTGTTTGGTGTTTTTTTTAATACAGATTTTGTTATAATGACTATGCTGCAACAATCTTACATAATCAAGTACCAATAAATATGTGTTTACTAAGCTTTTGGATATTTCCATGGCCCTTGCAGTGACTGTGTTTAGACATTCTGTTTGATGCTCAGTGGAGTTTGTTATAAGAAGAGCAACAAAAGCCTGAAAGCAGAACTTCATTGTACTGTGCCTCTGGAGTTACAGGCTTGTGGTCGGCTGGATGGCTGTAGCACTGGCTCTGTAATTCTCTTTGGAAATGGTCGTGTTGGTGTGATTTTACAACTGCTGCAATGTAAATGACAAGTTCCTAGGTGGCTATTTGTGTGCTTTAATAAAGGAAAATAAAACCTCCTGTGCATTGAATGATTATCTGCAAGATTTAGCTGTGTGGGTCAGGGGTGTCTCAGCCTGATCCTTTTTTAGTGAGATCAGTGGGAACTTTTGTGTCACAGGCAACTTTGTCTGTAGTTAACACAGGAACAGAAGATGTGAAAATGCTGGAAAATTGGTGGTTGGAGATGAGTGTGAGTTGCCTGCACCCTGCCAGCCTCCACAGGGTCCTGGGTTTTGCAACAGGCAGCTGTGCTGTGCAGGCAGCTGCCTACTGTTAGAGATGAAGTCTGATGCAGGATGAAAACAAGCTCTTCCCACATACTCTCTCCACAATTCCAAGGAGTTATGGGGTTAAGCATGATCATGGAGAACAATAAATGACAGGGCTGCTTTGAAAATAAAGCCAAGGCCATATTCTCCAAGAAAGATGGATCAGCCAGTGAGATGTGTGATCAGGGAAGTGCTTTCTGCACTGAGATCAATATTCCTACCCAAGCAGGTAAATATCAGGAGAGAGTTTTTTATTAACAGGGGTGATTTTCTTCTTCTTAAAAAAATAAAAATTGGTGAGAACAAAAATGGAAATCTTTATTTCTCTTCTAGCTCAGTTAATTATAAGTGTCCAGGGGTGAGTTCTCATAGCAAAACCATAAACCAAAGTGCTTTACTCAGTATTATGCGATTTATTAATGTACTAAGTGTTCTCTCTGCTGCTGCTGGCTGAAGTCAAGTGCTGGAAAAGGCTGAGGAATGGATGAGCCAGTGACTGAGCTCTCTCCTGAGGAGCCACTTGGTTTGCAGCGAATCTGGCTTTGGAAATGCCACATTTCCCTTCCTCTCCCTCAGCCAGCAACTTCTGTCCCCATGAATTACAATTTCTAACAGCAGAAATGAGGAGCAGAATTTACTCTTTCACTGAAGTTTGGATGGACAATGCCCTCAGGCACATGTGGGATTCTCAAAGTTGTCCTGTGCAGGGCCAGGAGTTGGACTCAGTGATCCTTGTGGGTCCCTTCTAACTCCGGATGTTCTATGATTCGTGGTTTTCTGCCATGGGAAGAGCCGAGCCAGGGAGATGCTGAGTTACCCTTTACTGAGCTGCAGGTCAGACAGCAGTTAGTTGGTTTGGGCGAGTATTCAATTGAAATCCCCCTCCTCATGCCCATAGGAGCCATGAAGCCTTTCCCCTGCTCTGAATGCCTCTGCCCCCCAAAAAGCCTGGCCCTCAGGCCTGAAGACAACTTTTGCAGGTGGGAGAAACCCCAACTGCAGAAAGACTAAAGCTGTGTTGGCCCCTTGTGATACCAGCACTGCAGCTCAGGACTTGCCCTGATGAAGATACTGCCTGATGCTGAGCAGTGGCCATGTCTGTTTTTTCAAGGTGTTTTCATGAGGAACTAGACTGTAAATGTTTCTTTTCTTTTTTTTTTTACTTTTTTTTTTTTTTTATTTTTTTTTTTTTTTTTCCCAGAGGAAGATTTGTTAACTCTCCAAAGAGCTGTCACTGAGCTCTGATCTCTCTCTGGGTACTTTGGGATATCAATTCCTAGTAGGACAATGTGTGCCCAGAGAAGGATGCCTCTCACCCTGCAATGCTTTATAGGGCAAGTGGCTGCTCTCTATAGTTAGAGCCTCTATTTTAAATGAAAAGGATCTCCAGCAGCAGCTGGTGCGGGTGCAGCCTTTCCTATGTGCTCAGAAGAGAATCTCTCAGACTGGCAGCAAAGCAGGCTCTGCCAAAAAAACTCCAGTTTGCTTTCCCACTCATTTCCCTGTGCTTCCCCTCAGCTATTTTTGTGGGTATTTATGCATAAGCAAATTTCTTCTTCCCTCAACAGGGGAATCTCCTTCGGACACATCCCAAGCCTCAGCCCTGATTGTGCATTCATGGTTTCACGCCGTGTTTCCCTGTGAATCTCTGTGGTAGCAGAGCTTCTTTGCTGTGACTTTGCAGAATCAGCTGGTAAATCACATCCTTGATCCTCATCTCCCAAGCCCTGACCAGGGCTGTCCGAAGGACCAGATCTTACTTCCCCACCTTCTCCTTTTCTGAGGAGAACCACAAAGCTGAGGTGGGAGGGATAGAGGGTAGAATCCTGCAGCAATGGCTGTAGGAGGGAAACCTGTCCCAACTCTGTGGGGAGAATGGCTTGTGATGTGGGGAGGCTGGAACCTGATCTAGTGGAAGGTGTCCATGCCCAGGGCAGGGAGTTGGAATGAAATGGTCTTTAAGGTTCCTTCTCATTCAAACCACTCTGTGATTCTGGATTCTGTGAAAGGAAGGTGGACCCGAGGTGGCAGCATCAGCCCATAACCCAAGAGCTGTGATGCCACATGAGGAACAGAGATAGCCTATAAGAAAGTAGAACATGTGCTGTGTGATGCTAATGGGTCTTTGGTACAGGTTTTCTTGGGATGGAGATGAGAGGTTAAAGGGTCTGCAGCCCCTCCTTGCCATGTCTGAGCTGATGCACACCTATTTTGAGTGGCCCATGCTGGCTCCATGCACCTGCCCTCTTGCCCATTCAGACTGGGGATCCATGCCACCTTTGCTCAAAACACATGGTAACAGAGGTGCTAAGGTCACAGCTCATTTTGAAAGGAGTTTTAGGATTTTTCTAAGCAAAGGGACTGCTATTGGGGTGGGTGCCACATCTCACAAACTCCCTTTGTTCCTGTTTTCAGTACCCTGGAGCCTGGATAGATTGCATCACAGAATGAAATAATCAATAAATAGAGCAACATGGTTTTGTATCTTGGCAACGATGATGCTAATCAACCATGTAAACTGACTTTGCTCTCTCTCCCTTAATGCAGAGAAATCCTGCCTGTCTGCAGTGAAGGAGTGATGCCTGCAGTGCTGGGGCAGATCCTTCCCCCACCTGATGCCTTCCCTCCTCCAACTCAAGGTTTCTGCTTCAGAAGCCCAAAAACTCCCTAAATACTCCCTGGGGTAGAAAGTGCACAGTAATATCCAAACTGAGCTGGGATCACCTTCAGGCCCCTGGACAACATCTCTCATGTTTGGATTCATAGAATCACTCAGTCCTAGAATGGCTTGGGTTGGAAGGGACCTCAAAGATCACCTAGTTCCAACCTCCTTGCCATGTGTAGGATTCTTGGGAATTTGGTCCTCCTGTGATTAAACTGCTGGAAGGGCCTCTGGGAGGAAACATCAGCTCCCCATGGAATGTGGCATCACTTGGGATCTTCCTGAGTAATGAGCAGACTGGATCATTTGTGGATTACATGTTGTATACATGTCCTTGCTTCTCCCTGCTGCTTTGCTCTCAAATCCTTGCTCCTGTTGCAGTATATGGGTGCCAGGAGGAAATCCCACCTGCAGAGCCCATGCAGGCAGCTGTTAGTGGGAGGTCTCGTATCCTATGCAACCAGCCCACTCTTGCAGCAAGAGGTGTTTATTCATCTGGAATATGTTATTGCTGTGAGAGGATGTAGCTCTGGCGCTGATGGACTCTTCTGCCTCCCTGCAGTGGTCAGGGAGAGCATCACTGCTTCCCTTCCCTTTGGGCATGAAGCCAGGCAGGATGGGCTGGAGCCTGGAGCCTTGCAGAACCAGCCCTGCCAAACAGCAGATTTTCAGCATACTGAGATGAAGGATGAATCTGACAGAAATCAAGCAGGAAATTTGATTTTTTCCAAGGAAACAAAATCAGCACCTTCCCATAGTCTGGTTTTGGCTACATCAGATCACCTTTCTCCTGGCCACAGAGAGGAGCACAGGCAAAGCCTGAGCTGGCTCTGTCCACTCTATAAACATTGATTTCTCTGTGTGTTTTCAGTCTGCCATGTGCAGCAAGTGCTACAAAAAAAAAGCTCATGCCATGCTGATTCATTCAGTGACGAGGAATAAAACCACAAGCTCTCTAGTCAATATGAAATTAAGATTAATGGCTTTTCAGCTCAGCGTGAAAATAATCCCATATTGTGATTTGGCTATTTAATGTTTATTTAATGTTAGTCATTAATAGCACTTCTCTGTGTGCACAGGTCATTTGCTCACATATTTTGGAGTTTCCCTCATCTCAGCCTTGCACTGCTCTTGCTTTGCTTAACCACAGAGAAAATCAGAGAATCACAGAATGAAAGGGACCTTAAAGATCACCTGGTTCCAACACCCTTGTCATTAAAATTCCTGGAGATAATCACTTGCCTCCAGGGACCCAGCGTAAAAGGGCAGAAAATGAGCCCAACCCCTGGTGCTGGTGTTTACCCTTCTCCCTGCATTCCTGCGGTGACTGGGAGGTGGGAATGAAAAGCTGACCAGGGCCAATCATCCTACAGTTTGCTTTGGCACCTGCACTGGGGTTTAATTTGAATGTGCTTGGCTGGAAAACTGCTTCATATTCTGGTGAGTGTGTGTCAGCTCTGCCCCTGCCTGGGAAATATCCACCAGGATGGTGTGGGGTGAGTTCCAGACCAGGTTGGATGGGGCTCTGAGTGTCTTGGTCTAGTGGAAGGTGTCCCTTCCCATGGCAAGGGGTTGGAACTGGATGATCTTTAAGGTCCCTTCCAACCCAAACCAGACTGTGATTCCATGATTCTGTGAGCTGTTGGCTCTGACCTGCCCCATCTACCATGAAATGGGGGCTGTCAGGTCCATGGCCCCAGCTTGGATGAAGGAGCTCAGCTGAGTGTGACCACGGCTTGGAGGATCCCACTGACTCCACCACACGGATAAGGAAAATGTAATTACATCTGTAGGAATTCCATCAATACTGAGCAGCAGCAGGCTGGGTCTCAGGGGAGATTTTTCATTGCATTGAAATCTGACTTTATTAATTACCAGCTTCTGATCTCATTTGAGGGTTAAGTTTATGAAACTGAATCCTTAGTCCTCTGATTTCCTTATTCAGATGGTTTATTGAGTCTTGTACAGTGGATGGTTTGGATCTTAGAAACTCCCAAGGTGTCTTCTTCTTCTGGCATGAGCTGTGCAGGAGAAGCATCAGAGCAAGGAGAGATGATGGAGTTGTACACAAGTCCCACGGAAAGACAGAGGAAGAAAA